GGCTTTTAAGAGAGGGTTTGTGGGGAAATTTTACTAGAGCTTGAGTGGTGGTACAAGGTACAGTGAATCAAGAAGTCCCCATAACGAAGAAGAGAGAGGTCCCACCGCTCAGACACTTGTCAACAGTCTTGGGACAGTGCCAAAGAAGTCCTGGGACAGTGTTGGACCAGAACAGTCTTGATACAGTCTTGGGACAGTGGTCTTGGGACAGTGGTCTTGGGACAGGGTCTTGGGACAGGGTCTTGGGACAGTGGTCTTGGGACAGTGGTCTTGGGACAGGGTCTTGGGACAGTGGTCTTGGGACAGTGGCCTTGGGGCAAGGGTCTTGGGACAGGGTCTTGGGACAGTGGCCTTGAGACAGTGGTCTTGGGACAGGGTCTTGGGACAGGGTCTTGGGACAGGGTCTTGGGACAGTGGTCTTGGGACAGTGGTCTTGGGACAAGGGTCTTGGGACAGTGGTCTTGGGACAAGGGTCTTGGGACAAGGGTCTTGGGACAGGGTCTTGGGACAAGGGTCTTGGGACAAGGGTCTTGAGACAGTGGTCTTGGGACAGTAGTCTTGGGACACTAGCCTTGGGATAGTAGTCTTGGGACAGTAGTCTTGGGACACTAGCCTTGGGACAGTGGTCTTGGGACACTAGCCTTGGGACACTAGCCTTGGGACACTAGCCTTGGGACAGTAGTCTTGGGACACTAGCCTTGGGACACTAGCCTTGGGACACTAGCCTTGGGACAGTGGTCTTGGGACACTAGACTTGGGACACTAGCCTTGGGACAGTAGTCTTGGGACACTAGCCTTGGGACACTAGCCTTGGGACACTAGCCTTGGGACAGTAGTCTTGGGACACTAGCCTTGGGACAGTAGTCTTGGGACACTAGCCTTGGGACACTAGCCTTGGGACAGTGGTCTTGGGACACTAGCCTTGGGACACTAGCCTTGGGACACTACTCTCAGGTCAGGGGTCTTGGGACACTGACGGAGTACTGGGACATTACCGAACAGTCTTGGGACAGTAAAAGGAAGCCTGGGACGGTACGAAGAAGAGTAGGGACGGTAACTGGAAGTCTTAGGACAGTATAAAAATTAAAGTAAAATTACAACAAGCTGTTTTAAGACAGGATTAAGACAGAACAAGACAAATTGGAACCCGGTACAGTTGAGACCACGAATAAAGAAAATTACTCGAAGATTTTAGAGAACTGGAACAAGGTTTTTATCACGTTGTATATTTTCTTTTAAGAATTTGTTTCCACAAAATTTTTATTCTTAGAATAGAATTGTGTATAAAATAAAATTGTAAATAAGAGCAATTGTAAATAGAAATAATGAGACGGAGTAGGGTACCGGTGCTTGAAAAAAGGTCAAGTGGATCAAACACGAAATATAACTCGTCGCTGCGTGGAACGACATCAAGGGGCCCAGGCAAAACAAAAAATAACTTTTCAGTTAGCATGGTCAGCACGAGAAGTGGCACCGAGAGCAAGACGCGAGAAGATGCGAGGGAAAAACAGGTGGAGCCCACAATCGAAATCGACCTAGAGACACCAGACCAGAGCGTAGATGAAGTGGAGAAAAAGACAACGGAATCCACACCGATGCCCCATATGGAAGATCAAAATCCAAAAACCGTGGAGTTTTCGCCAATAGACGCGTTGGAAGACACAACAGGCAATACCCGAGAAACGGTGAAAGATGACTCTCAAGTAAAGAAGACATCTTTTACAGAAAAGTTGGCGATGATGGTCGGAATGAAATCGAAAGACAACACGGCCGAGGAATCACAGACTGGAAGAGCACGAACATTTGGGACAGTGAGCACGAAGGCGACAGAAGCCGACCCAAAGGAAGAACAAGCCAGAAAGGAAGCGACAGCTGGAAACAAGACAACGGCTGATCATGAAACAGCTACCCTTGAGCTTGGAGACCTGATGACAAAACTAAATCAGATCGACAAGAGACTGAAGTACAGTGAGGAAGATAGAGACTTAATAAGGAAAGAGTTGAAATACAACAAACACGAGTATCTGGATAGTTATTTTAACCTGGCTAAGGCGACAGACGAGAGAATCCAGCAGATGTCGGACAAGGTAGATGCCACCAATGAAGAACGAGATAAGAACATCAAAAAAGATATGCAACAGTTGAAAAACCGATATGATGATGTCAACAGCCAATTAGGTAGCCTGGAAAAGAGAATGGACATAATGAACAGGAATCAGGCCGAAAGTTCGTGTGCAATACAGGCGAAGTTGGATGCAATCTTGAGAAATTCTACCTCACAAGAAAGACCGGCAGCGGATCGCACGCAACGCACCAGAGTTGACTTTGTGGAACCACAAAGGGGCAAACGGCAATCGACACCGTTGCCCTTAACCCGGGACACGGTGAGCATAGCACCAACAGCTGCTAAAACAATCATGAAGAATGGAACGTCAAGTACAACGACTGGCCCGGGGGACTCAACAGCTAACAGCAACGCAGGTCCGGATGCTATGACATGGGCAAGCACTTGGGAGATGATGAACAGGACTCTAGAGGCCTTTGCCACGAGGAACACTGACTCGAGCGATAGGAGGGACGGAAAATCAAGAAAAACTTTCAAGTAGCCAAAGGAATTCAAAGACGACTCCGATGGATGTATCGACACTTGGGTGGAAGTGATGAGATTACACCTAGAGCAAGATAACTTAAATGATGAAAGACAAGCATGCACGGCCATACTCAGCAACTTAGAAGGCACGGCATTAAAATGCGTGGTCGCAAAGAAGGAAGAAGAACGCGACACCGCGGACAAGATCTTCGAGATATTACTGAATCGATTCGGGTCAGGCATGAAGGGTCACCAAGCGATGATGCGATTTGAAAAGAGAAGGCAGAGGGACGACGAGTCAATAGATCGGTTCCTAGATGACCTCGAGAGCTTGAGAAGAAGGAGTGACCCAGAGGAGTCGACAAACAGAAGAAACTTCAGCATTGCCTCGAAGTTCATTGATGGGGTAAAAAGTGATGACTTAAGGACAATGTTAGCTACATACTACACATTGTCGAAAGACAGCGCACCAACCCCAGAAGAAATGATACAGAAATCAAGGGAATACATGCTGATGAAGCCCAAGAAATACTCATATTCGGAAAACAGGAACACACAGGGGGGAAGCCAACCCCAGAGGTCATCATGGTACAAACCTAGAGATGATATGGATAAGCGCAGATCATGCGCGAACTGCGGGTCAGCGGACCACCACGTGGCTGACTGCACAACATACAAACAAGGCATGAAGAGCCTAGGATACGCACCGGATGAGGAGGACATGAGCCAAATGGAGGAACACGAGTACTATAATGGCTTAATCATCAAGATAGGCGCTAGATGCTTCTTCTGAATGGATTGTCCCTTGTTCTGGGAAGCGGTCAAGGACCAGAGTCACCCCAAACATAAGTTGGCATTAGCGGCGGTGCAGAATCAGCGGAACAGGCAGAACGAGTTTGAATCGAGGAACTTAGGAACACCAAGCACGGAATTGCCAACGAAGACAGTGAAAGCTGTAACACATGTTAATGGTGCGATAGAATCCGCGGCAGGGAATTCTCTAGAGATAAATTATGAGAAAGCGGCGACGGAGGCAATTGCCAAAGTGAAACAGGATCTGGCTGCGAAAGAAATAGAGCAACGATTAAAGCTGGAGATCGAAAGACAGAATTTTAACGAAGCATTAACCGGATCGAACCCAACACCAGAGGCTGTACAGGGCTCAACAAAAACCGGGAATTGTAACACTGTAAAAATGGTGACGGGAAAGCCATTCGGCATATCGAAAATTGGGGCGAGAATAATGTCGATAATCACAGTGGGCGGCCACGAGGTAACCAGAAACTTGAGCGAACCGAGCGACCAGACAATAATGCACATTGACGTGTACGCAGATTACTTGAGTGGTATAAGCCCACAAACGACTTCTAGAGCGCTGAGAGCACTACTCATGAGAGGGGGCAGCAAGTCGGTACGTGTTGATAACAGATATACTGAAGCTTATGGTCCACACGAGGTGATGCTAAATATAGATGGGATCAACATCTATACCAAGACAATGATAACATGTGACGAAGACCTAATTGGGCAAATCTACGTAGGGAAAGAAGAGTTGAAAGTGAGATCGATTGGACACTGCGCCATGCTTGAAGAAGATGCAATGCACATCGGGACGGAGGCAGATGTGACAGGGCACGTGCTAGATATAAGTGGCAAAAAGACTCAGTTGCGTGGGTTACTTGATACGGGAGCAGTCTTGAGCGTCATACCAATCGAAACTTGGGAAAGGATGGGCTTTGACAAAGATGACTTGATAGACTCGAGAATACGGCTGTCAGCTGCAAACAAAGGGGCCCTTCGGGTGCTGGGCAGGACGCCGATAATAGCCCTCAATTTGGGGGAACGTAACCTGTGGATGGGCTTTATCGTGGTAGAAAACCTAGATGAATCTGACCAATTCATTTTGGGCAGGGACTTCATCAGGAATTTCGACGTAACAATTGACCTAAATAACGCAATGTTCAGGATACGGAACCCGGATAGGAGGTACGCAATCAAACCGGTAAATTTAATAATGGCAAATGAGAACAAAGCACCGGTATTCTTGAGTAGGAGGGTGAGGCTAAAAGCTAATGAAGCGGCAATCGTAAGCTTGAGGATGAAAAATTACAATGAACTAAGTGACAACAAGCAAGTGTGTATAGTTCCAAATCCTAATAGTCAAAGTGCTGCTGTTTTAGGAAGATCATTCTCGATAACGAAGAGCGGCCTCTGCGTCAGTGTCTTGTTGAATACCCTTGATGTACCGATCACGATACAGAGAGGGAGGAAACTGGGATATGCTTTACCGGTTAAAACTCGATATGAAACGATTGAGAACTCAAAACAGAATGAGGTTGTTGATTGTCCCAATCACAGGGACAAAATTTGTATCTTGAGAAGATTGCAGAAAATAAAAGATTCTTCAGGTCTTATTAAATCACTTAAGTCAGAAACGGACGATGGGCTGTCGAGCTGTTCGAACTTTCCAGAGCGAACCACACTAGATGAAATGCAAACTGATAAACCGGTTCTGCCGGAGATTGAACATTTGAGGGGCAAACTGAAAGATGAACAGCTCGAAGCCATCAAGGACGTACTGAAGCGGAACGAGGAAGTTTTTTCGAGGCATAAGGCGGATATCGGGTGTTGTAATTTCGTTGAGCATGAAATAGAACTTGAGGAAAACGCGGTACCACACAGGGAGGGGGCGAGGCGCATGACCCCACACAAATCGGACGCGTGTAGAAAAGAGATCGAGACGTTACTAGAGTATGACATGATAGAACCATCCAAGTCACCGTGGGCGTGTGGAGTAGTGATGGCCAAAAAGAAAGGCGACCAGTTGAGGTTTTGTTGTGACTTTCGATACCTGAACTCCGTCACGGTGAAGGATGCCTATCCCATACCTAGGATTGATGAGAGCCTCTCGAAGTTAGGTGATGCAAAATTTTTTACGACTCTTGATTTAGGCTCGGCCTTTTGGCAAGTACCACTAAGGAAGCAGGACAGGGACAAGACAGGATTTGCCTGCGAGTTGGGTCTGTTTCAATGGAAACGGATGCCGTTTGGACTTTGCAATGCCACAGCCACGTTTCAGCGGTTGACGGCACACGCGCTGATAGGCGTGACGAAGAAGTATGGCAACCTGGTAATGTGCTACGTGGATGACGTGGTAATAGCGACGCCAACACTGGAAGACCACATTGAGAGACTTGACGAAGTGTTTGCATGCATGAAGAGGTCGGGGCTAAAGTGTAAACCATCAAAGTGCGAGATACTCAAAGACTCAATAAAATACTTGGGCAGGATGGTAGACAAGCACGGCATCAGACCTGATACGGACGCCGTGGAAGCAGTCCTGACCTGGAAATCACCGAAGACAGAGCACCAGTTGATGAGCTTCCTGGGTTTCGCTAACTATTATAGAGAGTTCATCAAAGACTATGCAGACAAGGTATACCCGATGCAACAATTAATGAGACACAAGGGCAAGAAGTTCACGTGGAACAACGCAGCAGAAGAGTCATTCCAGAGAATAAAGAAAGAGCTATGTGAGGCACCAGTACTGGGTATGCCGACTGAGAAAGGGATGTACGTGCTGGACACGGATGCGTCGGTAGTCGCGATTTCTGGGATTCTCCACCAAGAACAAGAATGGAATGGGAAGACCAATAGCGTACGGGAGCAAAGTCCTGAGTGACACGGAAATGAAGTACGGAGCACCAAAAGCAGAGATGTTCGCGGTGGTTACCTTTGTCGAGAAATACAGGGCATACCTGGACAGTGAGCCATTCAAGTTGCGAGTCGACAACAGAGCACTGAGCTGGCTGAAAACGTACTCAATGGACCAAAGTTACATTGGGAGGTGGATAGTTCGCCTGGACGGATACAACATGATAATTGAGCATAGAACGCGAGATAAACATCAGAATGCCGACAGCTTGAGTAAGAAGACGGAGTTCTATGAGAGACAAGAGCAAAGAGAAGCAGACAGACCTGAAATCAAAGATGGCTTCTCATTCATGGACAAGGAAACGTACGACAGTCTTCCACTCACAAGATGGCTGGACAAATCAGGCAAACCGATTGAAGATCATCCAGAATTACCAAAAGAGCCTCTCGAAAAAACGATCTTGAAGAAGAACAGAAGGATCCCGATGGAGATAATACTCAAGTCGAAGATCGTGAAGGAGACGCTCAAGGCAAAAGGCTATGATCTTAACCAGGTGGAAGCAGGAACTGCACAGATAGATGATGACTTAATGAGGTTACTCGAGAAACTATCAGATGATAAGCCTGTGATCCAAAAGAAGGATCAAGAAGAACAGGAAGTCACTATAATTCGGAGAAAAGAGACAGTGAACGACACTGACTCATCAAGAGGAGGCGTCACTGACAGCAAAGATGTCGTGCGGTCACTAGTTGACAAAATCCCCGAGAACATTCTGGAGCAGACCAAGGTTAGGAAAAAGAAAGTGACGTTCAATGAAGATACTGAACACCTGGGACTAGGTCAAGAGTCCGGGGAGTGTTCCAGGTTCACGGTAGAAGGAACCGGAGAAGGAAAATTGTCCGGGGAGCGTGAAGAATGGGATGAAGACTCGGATGAGAGCAGCGAAGACCAGGACAGTCTATGCATGATATTGGCGGAAGAGAAGATAAGACAACACGACAGGGAGTTACAGACGGATCCATCTTCAGGAACGTACAATCTGGACACACAAGAGGTACGAGGTGGTGAAGAACTTGAGAAAATTGCGGTTTCAAGAAAACCATTCAGGGAATTATCGTGCAACTCAAACGTCAGAACGAATCTGGTACCAGAAGACGACATGAAAATCGTGAAAAGGATGATATGCGTGAAACTGAGTGATGACATCCCTAACCCTGGTGAGATGAATGGACAGATCATGGCGCTGAAGGAGCATGTCAAGGCGAGATATAGGCTGTCAGACTTAATAAGAGCCCAGAAGAATAACAAAATGACAAGTAATCTCTCCAAATGGATCCAGTAGGGGGTCAAGGAGAAGGGGGAACTTGAGGAAGACAGCTACAAGATCTTGAGCCAGTTCTACGAAGAAAGGAAAGACTTACTTTATCACACAGCTGATGGTATGGTAGCGTGCAAAAGGAGAGATGAGGAAAAGGTATTACACAAACACAACCTCATCATACTACCACAATTGTACCAAACGGAGGTGCTTTTCAGATCACACGACCAGATGGGCCATCAGGGGATAGATAAAGTACAACAAAGGATACTTCATAGGTTTGATTGGCCGGGAATGAGAAAAGCTTGCGAGAGATGGGTGAATGCCTGCCTAGCATGCCTTCAGGTAAAAGACCCAAGGAAGATGAAGTTTCCCCTCAAGTCTGTCGAGAGTTCGGAATTCAATGAAGTGGTGCAGATAGACCATCAGAAAATCTGCATGACGGAGTCGGGTTATAACCAAATACTGGTTATAATAGATCACTTCACAAAGTTGGCGGAAGCGGTCCCGTGCCAAACAGCCTCGGCCGAGGAGACATGTGATCATCTGATAACGCATTGGATATCGCGGTATGGTTGTCCAATGACTTTCCAGTCGGACAACGGCAAAGCTTTTGTGGGGGACTTGACAAAAGAATTGATGAAGAGATCGCATATTGCTCAAGCACACTCGTCGACCTATCATCCACAGACCAATGGGTTGGTGGAGAGACAGAACAGGACACTGGTCAACATGTTAAGGGTGTACTGCTCAAGATACATGACAGACTGGGACAAATACCTGCCACAGGTAGTAGGAACCTATAACAGTACTCAGCACTCAACGACGGGCATCAGTCCTTTCATGATGTTGACGGGCAGAGAGAGAGCAATGCCTCTGACATTCTTCTACCCGGAATACGAGGGGAAGAGGACGTCGCCTGAAGCATATGTGAAGGAAGCGATCAAAAGACAACAAGAGCTAAACGAGCTATGTAGGAGGAATACGGCGCAAGCGCAAATGAGGCAACGCAAGAAATATGACGAAAAAATATTACAAGCAAAGCCATACGAAGTGGGCCAGTACGTGTGGGTCTTCCAAAATGTCATACCGCCCAAGGGAACAAAGAAACTACTCAAGAAGTGGAGAGGACCGTTCATGATAACGGAAGTACATCAACAAGGACGGTTCTACCGCTTGAATACTGGGCGAGCAGCACATTACGAAAATCTGAAGCCTCATGTCCCGTCCCCGGAGGACTGGTGCCTACCAAAAGACATGGAGGGTCTTGAGTATCTGGTGGTAGAGCCAGCGTGTGAAGTGAATGAAAAAGGCACCAGAGAGAAAAATGATGGTAATGAGAGCTTGAGTTTGGGTGACAATGAAAAGATAGGAGTGGAGTCTGATGCAGGATCATTTGTAGAAGATGACTGGAACGACCCGGAGCAAGACGAGGTGCCGAAGTGGATGGAGCCGGATCGACCAACACCACCGGAAACCAGGACTGGCAATCGTAAACGCACCGGCATGAGGTACAACAGGTACGGGGATGACTTCTTGATCGATAAGATACAGCCAGACAAATTGGGCGAGGAACTACTGAATGCAGGCGAACTGGAAGCTGGAGAGCAATGGCAGGTCATTGACGATGGTGGTCATTATCCGCAGGATGATTACTCGACGCCAGAATTGGAAACGGATCTCGAACAGAGTGAGATAGAGAGGAGGGAGAACACGAACTTGTGGATTCTAGAGTGGATGCGTGATGTCAAAGACGAGAGCCGCGAAGGACAAAGCATTCAGCAAGTCGATGTATCAGCAGCAAATTACATGAAGACAGAGGACCCTCTTTTCGGATGGACGGCAACAGACAAGCCACTGGACATTCCTCAGGACAATTCAGACCCGACAACATCGACGGGGACGTCGATAAATATTTTTGTCCGGGGAGTGGGGGTAGGACTTACCCACACCGAAAATTTGATGATAAAAAAGCTCAAGGAAGTAAGAGAAACGAGCGAATTGGAACTGGAGGAAGAAGAGCCAGAGCCTACTGTAGGTCGGAATTTCAAAACGAAATTCGAAATACCCAATGAATACTCGGAGAACCTCATGATAACGGATAGCGACTTCATCCTGTCAAACAGGACCAGCGCGATCTGCATCACGGCGGACATGAGTTTCAAATCAAGATTGGAAGCTGACTTCAAAAGAGAGTACCAGAATGTAGAGTTTCTGTTCAGACAGAGACCAGGACTGGGAGGGATGGCAGCGCTTCCACCGTCAGTGGCACAAGTCCCGGGCAAATATCTGTGCTTCCTAGTAACGAGGGTCAACGACAGGAACACAATTGATCCCGAACACGTGATATTGGCACTAGCAAGATTACGAGACTTCATGATTGAAAGAGGGATAACAGAGGTCTCAATGCCGGTGTATGACCCAAACAGGCGCAAACTGAGCCCAAG